ATCTTTCCCTCTTTAAGTCCCTCAACTTTCAAACTTTTGGCTATTAAGCCCAAAACAATATTTTCTCACACAAAAACCCTTACTTAAATGCTAAAATAGCACAAAATTTTGGGGTATTACAGTACCAAAGTGAAAAGTTGAGGGATCAAAATGGTACTTAAACCTAAAAGAAATTGTAATTTTAAGGTTTACAAAGTGACTTATGACCTTAGACAAAAATGAAAAGGAGATTAGAGCTAGTTGCGCACTTCTAGTTGTTTGGCTTGTAGTTTGGTAAGCCCAAAGGACATTATTAAGTTCCTCTACCCATTTTGCTTTAAGTTGATCCAACCTCGATTTGATTCCTTTTAAGATAGCTTTGTTGACTGACTCAACCATTCCGTTTGCCTCGAGATGATAGACTGAGGTGAACACCAACCTAATTCCATAACTAGAGCAAAAGTCCTTGAAAGAAGTGCAATTGAATTGAGGGTCATTATCAGCAATGACTTGGTTTGGTATTTCGTACCTACAATTGATAGAGCTAAAAACAAATTTCTTAATCTTTTTTGAGGTTAGACTGGATAAAGGTTGAGCTTCCACCCATTTAGTAAAGTAGTCAATTACAATGACTAGGTGTGTCACTCTTCTTGTACCTTAACTAAAGGGCCTAAGAGATTTATGCCCTACTAGGCAAAAGGCCATGGCGCAACTAGGTTAGTGAGTTCTTCTATCGACTAATGGGTAAGGTGAGTGAAGAACTAGCATTTTTGGCACTTCTAAACAAACTTCCTAACATTTTCTTGCATATTAGATCAATAGTATCCTTGTCAAAGTACCTTGTGGACTAGGGTCCGAGCTCCCACGTGACTACCACACACACCCTTATAGACTTTTCTTAAGTGTACTCAGCTTCATATGACGTCAAACACCGAAGAAGAGGAAGCGAGTATGACCTCTTAGACAAGACATCATCAACTAAGATGTATCAAGATGCCTTTCTTCGCAACTTCATCTCTTCTTGTTTATCATTTGGGATAATTCCATCTCGGAGATAGGCCTTGATGGGGTTTGTCCAGCTAGGAGTTTCAGGACCAACATTGATTTCCATCACCTACGACCTTTAAAAGCTTGGTTCATTAAGGACTTCGATATATACAGACCTCACTTTAGTGGAGCTATCATAAGCTAATTTCAACAAGGAATCTACATGCGCATTTTCTACTCTTGGGACTTTTGTGAGCTGAAATCTCTCAAAATGGCACTTCAGTTCAGAAACCATAGCTAAGTACTTGACTAGGGTAAGATCTGTGACCTTACATGTAGAATTTACCTGGTTGACTACAAGCTGGGAGTCATTGTAAAACTGCACAGTTTTAACATTCAGTTTGGCTGCTAAACATAATCGAAGGAGCAGCGCCTCATACTCAACCATGGCCCAATCAATGCTGCTCCAACACCTGACCCCTTGTTGCTAGATGACCCGTTAACATAAAAGGTCCAGAGCTTAGCTTCAGAGTTGACACTCTCTTGACTAGAAGTGCACTCTACCACAAAATCCACCAAAACTTGAGCTCACATTGCTAACCTATTCTGGATTGTGATCTAGAACTCCCTAGCTCAACTACCTACTTGATGAGCCTATCTAAGCACTTCGGTTTTGCAAAATCTGCCTTAGGGGTTGGTCAGTTAATACAACAATAGGATGGGATTGGAAATACGACCTCAGTTTTCTAGCCTTGGTAACAACTATAAGAGCTACCTTTTCTGCTATGGAGTACCCCTATTTAGCCCCTTATAGTACCTTGCCAACATAGTACATTGGCTTTTATTGCTTTCTTATTTCCCTAACCAAGACTGAGTTTACAACTGTGTCAAATATCTCGAGGTAGAGGTAAAGGATCTCGCCTTCTTCAGCCTTGGTTAGTAGAGGTGGCAAACTGAGGTAAGCCTTGAGCTCATTGAAGGCGGCTTGACACTTCGAGGTCCATGCAAACTTTTTGGGCTTCCCCGCTTCATCTTTCTGGGCAACAAACCTTAGGATTTTAAAAAAAGACAAGCATTTATCCACCGACTTCGAGATGAACCTGTGCAGAACTGTTACCCATCCAGTTAGGCATTGCACATCTTTAATTGACTTTGGTGGTTTCATCTCCTCTATTGCCTTTATCTTCTCAGGGTTGACTTCTATCCCCTTCCTAGAAACCATGAATCCTAGGAATTTACCAAATTCAACACCAAAGACACATTTTGCTAGGTTCAACCTCATATTGTGTTTCCTCAAGTTGTTAAATGTTTCCACCAGGTCGATTAGGTGATCCTTTATCTTGAAGCTCTTGACCATATGTCGTCGACGTAGACTTCTAGGTCTCTGTCGAGTTGGGCTTGAAATACAATCGTCACCATTTTTTGATATATAGCTCCTATGTTTTTGAGGCCAAATGGCATCATTACATAACGGTAAATTTCATCCCCCGCATAAAAGGATGTCTTCACCTCATCCTTGGGTGGCATATGGACTTGATGATACCTCGAGTAAGCATTTAAAAGACTAAGTCTTTCATTTTTAGATTCTGCTTCTACTATTTTATGTATACTAGGTAGGGGTGGCAATCCTTTGGGTAAGCACCATTAAGGTTAGTGTAATTAATGCACATCCTCCATTTTCCATTTAACTTCTTGACTAAAACAAGACTAGTGATCCATTCACAAGTCTACTTTTCTTACAAAGCCTACCTACAAGAGCTTCTGCACCTCTTCCTTGATTGCCTATAGCCTTTCCCCTCCAAATAGGCCTCTTTTTTTTAGCTATGGGCTTCTTAAGAGGATTGGTGCTTAGCCTATGCATTGCAACTGAGGTGGGTATTTCTGGCATATCAACCGAGGTCCATGCAAATACATCTTTGTTCACCTTTAGAATGTATATGAACTCTTCTCTTTCTTTCGAGTTCAGCTTGGTCACAATTTATGTCTTCTTAGTGGGGTCATTGTCATCAATCTGCACCTCTTCCACTTCTTCTTCTGGGGTGGCTCTAACCTCATCTTCAAGTTTGTTATCTAGTAACTCTACGCCCATCACCTACTGGGCATTGGGGGGCTTCTAATTGGACCAGCTCTAATGGTTGAGTTGCTTCCTTATCTTTCCAAAGTTGAGCAACAAAGGTCATGTAGCAATGCCTTTCTATTTCTTGATTACCTCTCAGAGTCGCCACTCCCATAGGTGTAGGGAACTTCATGCACAACTGGGACTGTGAGACAACAGCTCTTATCTTGGTCAGAGTAGGCTATAGTAAATGACGAAGCCATCTTTACAACTAAAAACTGAACTAAAGGAGTTACATATGTTCGACCCGAGCCAAAGGCCACATTGAGCCTTAGGACTCCTTCCACAAGGACTGGTTGGTTGTTAAACCCATAGATGGGACTATCGTATTGTTGTAAAAGAGTAGGATCTAGGCCGAGACTTTCAAAACAATGGTAATACGTGATGTCAAGAGTGCTTCTAGTGTCAACAAGGACACGTTGAACTTCGCAATTATTGAAAATGACTGAAGTGGCTAACGGGTGATCATAAGGCATGACGAGACCATCAAGATCAGTTGAAGTGAATGTTATAGGTTGGCTCTTCCAATCTGCCTCATCAAACTTTCTCTTCGACTCGATTTTGATGTTTCACCTCCCTTACGTATGATTTCTACTGCTTAGAGGTCGTCCTTCCTATTTTGAGCTCACCGCTTATCATGTAAATGATGTAAGAAGGCGGAGGAAATAGGGGTGGGATTTGTTAATATCTGACATCGGTTTATTATTTGCATCTCGGTGTCCCTGGGGTTGTTGTCCCTGTTCCCTCATAAATTTGAGTTGATATCTGTTTGAAATATACTCATTTAGCATCCCCTTTTGAGCTAAACTCTCAAGTTTGGACCTGAGACTGTTAAATTCTTCTGTTGTGTAGGCGTGATCCTAATGGAAATCACAATATTGACTGTGACCTCTAGAAGCAGGTAGGCTTTGCATAGATGGGGGCCTTCTGAGCTCCATCTTATTCTTAATCTGCATTAGAATGTGTGACCTTGGAAAAGTGAATGGAGTCTAGGTAACTGGCTTTGCCGCAGTTTGTGGGGTACTCGGGCTTGGCTTATCAACTTTCGGAATGGGGAGTGGACTTTAGTTTTCTGTAGCTTTGAATTTCTTCCTACTTTGCGCTTCTTCTCTATAGGTTGGAGTTGTGACTTCTTTGCCTGCTATGGGTTTACCAGAAAGAGCATACTCTTCTGCTATTATGAACTTACAAGACCTCTCATTTGCTTAATCAAACATAGAAGGTGGATGCTTTATCAGGTTGTCTCAAAACCTCTCATGCCTGAGACCTTGGATCATGGTAGCTATTCCCACAGCTTGATTGAATGGATTAATTTCTAACACAGCATTGTTGAATCTACTCATGTACTTCTTTAAAGTCTCACCCTCCCTCTAAACTACCCTTATGAGCACAGATGTGGTTTTTTGAATTAACTTCTGGCTTGAGAATTTTGTGGCAAATGATGTTGCCAACTCAGCATATGAAGTAATCGAGCTTGCCTACAGACTATAATACCAAGTGCAAGCATTGCCATGCAATGTGGAGGGAAACATCTTGCACATTAAAGCATCAGAGGCACTCTGAGCCTACATAACGGACTAGAATGCATGCAAATGATCATCAGGATCCTTGGTCCCATCATAGGTCTCAAACTAAGTCATTTTGAATACGGGTGGAGAGGGCTCTTGGAGGATGTTGGCACTTAAGGGAGTGGGGATAGAGGTCGAGCCGAGCTGAGTTGAAGGTACAGCATTTCGATTTTGCCATCATTTTCTCTAGGTTGTCCAATCTCTTAGAAACATTCAAGGCAATCGGTTGAGCTGGTTTTGGGGGTGGAGGTACCATGTGGGATTGCCTTGCACTTCGGAGTTGGGAGTTGGCATTCTGCTAAGGTTGGGGATTTGTTGCATGATTGGCTGAGCTCAAGAGGGCAATGAGTGGGTCTCTTGGATTGTCTCTGGCCAATAACTGTGCAAGTATGAGCTGAAATATGCTAAATTGTTGCTGTATGGAATTGAGTGGGCAACCATGGCGTCATTTGGGGCTACATCTGGATGCTGTGGGTTATTCTCTCCCACCTTTTCTGTAGGCTAATGCTGGGTAATAAGGGGTGGTACAGCATGAGGTATGGGGTCACCACTAAGGAACTGACCTCTTCTTCAGCCTTGTTGAGGACTTCCACACTATGTTGAACGCGTATTAACCATCATAACAGCCACTGACAAGGCTCTTAGCTCAGATTCCCAAAAACGACACCAAATGTTGATGCAAAGAACTTCAAAGGGCTCCCAAACTCAGATCTTCACTTCAGCAAGCCTACAAAGCCTTGAGGTTGGTTCTTGGAGTAGACACTCCGATACCTAAGTTAGCAATAATCAGATTTACCAAATATAGAGCAAGAGCCAAGCTTGAGATTGGTTTCAATTACCTTTTGAGGAAGACCCTTGGAGGATATTTATAGCCTTCAAGGAGGTGTCCACGTGTTCATCTTTGCGAAAAATCAAGGTCATGTGTGTCAATCATTGCAAAAGTCTCTCATAAGATATCTGTGTCTATATGAAGCTACTATAGAGCGATGGCAAAAGGGACGAGCTCGAACTCAACTGAGTTCATCGCGCTTCAAACAACATCAAGGTGATGAGGTTGTTGGGAATAGTTGAGGGGGTCCAAGGTGCATGACCTTGAACTATCAAAGCACGTGACCTCAGACTACCATTACTACAAGACCTTTTCATAGTCATCTAATCCCTTAATTGAATAGCATATTTTGTTATCACATGCTTCTAATTCGTTTCTTGAATCATCACTAGGTTAATTTTTTGTTTCTTGATCAATTCCTTCAACTCCCTTCTTTTAGTCCTCCTTCCTAGTCCCTTTATTTTATAAGATAAGATCTTCATTAAGAAAATTCTTCCTCCCCTATCTCATTACTTGTCGATTGTCTATTTGCAGCCAACACCAGTCAATCCTTTTTCTCCATCTCACCCAAACACTTGATTATCTGAGCTTCATTGCTTTTATTGACTAAACCCAATCGCTTACCAATCCTCTATAGCTCTTCTGTCTCGTCATCCCAAGATCTATTTTTGAATCTTTTGTTGCAGTTAGCAATCCCTCCTTTAGAGACTATACTGCTTAATAAGATATCCACAATAATTACCTCATTGTTTCTAGTCCACCTCTTCCTCCATCCTCCCCTTTTCCTCTTCTTTTTTCTTTCAAAAGCCTTTCTATTTGTGCATGTAGTAGTTCCTCTTCACTTGGCATGCCTTTCCCAAAATGATAACGAACCATCATCATCTACAAAGAACATTTTAATTGCCTTGTTAGCTCATGTGTTTAATCAATATGTTACTGTACATACCTAACATCTTAACTATTTACCAAATAATATCTATATAATAGTACTAACTATTATTTTTAAAAATAAATTATTATAATAATTTATTTCTTACTTATCATTGTCTATTGTAGAATTGATCATAAGTTAAAATAACAATTTGCTCTCTCAACTTTTAAATTTGTATCAAAATTGTCTCTTAACTTTAAAATGTACAAAAATAGTCCTTGAACTTTAATTTCTTGTATTAAAATAGTCTTGAAACTTTGAAGATAATACCAATTTAGTCCTTAAACTTTGATTACAAATACTAATTTAGTATTTCAACTTTGATTACAAATACCAATTTAATCTTTCAACTTTAATTATATATTAATCTAATTTGTAAATAAAAATATACTACAATGGTAAAATATAATTTTTTTTTTATTTTACATGTTATTAGTATTTTAAAAAACTAATTTTATGACAAAATAACGAATTGTATGACACTTATATTGACGGAAGGACTTTTTGATATTGAAAATTAAAGTTTAAAAACAATTTTCGTACTTTTTAAAGTTGAAAGATAATTTCAATACAAATCTAAAAGTTGAGAGATGAAATTGGTAGTTTGACCTTAATCATATATAGTCGAGTTTTGATTTTGATTTAGTTAGGATGGGTGGGAAATATTTAATTTAAGATTGTCCTTCTAAATTTTTAGTTGTAAATTGATGTTTCTTTTTGTTTGTGTTTGGGAATGAATTTTGCTTGATTCCTCTCCTTTTATAATTTAATTTAATTTATTTCTCATTTTAAATTGTTATTTGGTTGAATAGGTGACTTAGTTTGAATTTTCTTAATTTGAATGGTAATTTGCAACAAAATATTTCAATAAGTATACAAATATACCTTTTAAGTTATTTGATGCCCATTGAATTAAATACCAAGTATAGGTCCTTAGGTAGTTAGATAAGTACTAAGTTTA